ATCCCTCCACCTTCTTCATTTCCCATAGCTTTACCTTCTTCATTTCCCAACTCTTTACCTTCTTCATTTACCATCATTTTACGTTCTTCATTTCCCTGCGCTTTACCTTCTTCACTTCCCTGCGCTTTACCTTCTTCATTTCCTAACGCTTTAGCCGCTCTTCAACCTAACTTTACGAGAACGACAAGGAGGCACTGCCTGGAATATTCAGAGCCGCTATTTTTTTAAGTTCCACCCCTACAACAATTTATCTCTGCCTCACTAACCCCCTTTCACCGTCTCCGATCTACCCCCATCCTTATTCCTTATGTTTCAAACTCTTAACAAATTTTGCTTTGTGGTCTTCAGCACTTAAGTGGAGGGCTTTGAGAAACGTGATGTCTATATCTGCCTCATCTGAAGAGTTTGCCACTTAGAGGCACTTGTGTGTGAAGAGATAGCGTCCCTGAACTCTATTGCGTTGGTAACGGTACCTGAGGACCAACATTTGAAACTGACTCTGTAACTGAGCTTCAAGCTATTTGCGCGTCTGCACTCAAGCAGTACTCAAAGAGAGTCTGACGCAAGCCAAGTGGACTCACACTTGTTCAAGCATGTACAAAGTTTGGTCTCTTAAGAGTCTTCATGAGCAGATACCACTATCTCTTTACTTTCCGAATACCTCCTTAGAGATGTGCAACTCCTCAGAAGCCACAGAGCGGAGATCGGCACATTCAAAAGCTATTTCTCCACTGATAGACCTTTCCTAACAAATGTTTGCAATCGGAGATTAGCGAAGAGCATATTTTCGTGTGTTTTAGTGACTATTGACGGAGGTTTGGATTGGTGAATAGAATTAATGACCATTTAGATTTCTTAACTACAAGTAACTGTAATACTATTGCTGATTTCCACATGACAGGCAATTAGGACACGCTATATCTTCTCATTCTTCACTAGTCGTATCCTTGCAACGGATTTGTAAGACTCTCACTGTAACTATATCACGCATAAAGTGTTCTCTTCACAGGCTGACTTTCAAGTTTCAAGCAACTCGTGGCCATCTCTTCTCAGTCATCTTCGCCTGCCCTCTCAAGGGACTCCATCAATTCTATCTCAACGAAAGTCAAAGTCAAAGTCACATTGCGAATGATAGTCAGTAAGTCTTGGTGTCGAGCCCCATCTAGGGCTCATGCCCAGACATTTATCACTGATAGAGAGTTACGGTTACGGTTTTGTTTTTATGGGGCGCCCTCTCTGGCGATAGGACTGGTCTGTCTTTTGTATATGCTGCTGGTCCTTGCCAGCGCAGTCTTTCTCGGGTCCAAGTCCCTTTGTACTCGCGACCATATTTTACTGTCTCAGATATGAGGCTTCCCTTTTCTTCGCCTCCTACCACTCGCAGTGTCAGGGTAGAGGTATTCGACCCCGCCTCCACACGGATGTCTCTCTCAACCGGCATTGAATCCTCGTTACATAGCTTCGGGGTGAACCAAACAGAGAAAACCGTTTCCTAACAATGCATCTCTTGTTACAGAGGTATGTTTACTTCGCCGTTGCATAGAAAGGGCACTTGTTCTTATGTTGTGTACGTGTTCGTTCCCGGGGTACCTGTTTATCGAACCGTTGCCTAGCAACGAACGTCTATTCTGGCTCCAATATCCCGGCTTTCACCCATCATGTCACATTATGTACGTGTGTATATCNCGAACCCAACAGAAAACACCGTTTCCTAACAATGCATCTCTTGTTACAGAGGTGTCTTTACTTCGCCGTTGCATAGAAAGGACACTTGTTCTAATGTTGTGTACGTGTTCGTTCCCGGGGTACCTGTTTATCGAGCCGTTGCCTAGCAGCGAACGTCTATTTTGTGTAAATATCCCGGCTTTCATCCATCATGTCACATTATGTACGTGTGCATATCCTACACCAGCGGTTTCTAACCTTTCTGATATTACACTGTCTGTAAGTGTCTATAAGTCTCTGCAATTTTATTCGATATATGTTTAACATTTTCAACTCGAATTTATATAATTTTTCATAGTCACCTAATTCGTATGTGATACTGGAGGTTCCCCCAGCAGTTTTTATAAAGAACCCTATCTTCTGTACGGTTTTAAATCTCAAAAAATAAAATTTATAACTAATTCGTAATTACTTTTCCCATGTTCATGTGGGAAAGACTTAAAAATAAACTTCTCTGTTCTTAATTAATTAAGCAATAGGCCAGAAGACGTGTGGGGAAGTGGATGTACCGGTCCACACATTCCTTAACTCGGTACTAGATAGATCAACTCACAAATATTGTAAATGTGAATTCATTGATTTTTTCAGTAATTTAATTTATTTATATTCGTGAAAAATACCACTTCCAGCCCCCTGTAACGAGGGGGAGACTGGTAAGTACTGGTAAGTGTTAGATAGGCTGACACGCCAGTCCAACAAATGGCGCTCTACGTCAAAATACCTGGCACATACACACACACACACAGACAGACATATATGCATTTCCTTACATGACCGTTTCATACGTCTGCCCTTGTTTTCATTTAAAGAAATTAAAGAACTTTTTAAGGGTCTACAACATCCTCTGGTAAAGGAAAAGGTAAAGGTATTCCTGTAAGAAGCCGTGGAGGCCCATAGGGTTGTGAGACTTCGAGGCTCCAACATTTTGTAGACAATCGGATCAAAGATGGCGATGAGGTCGTCAGACTTACGCCTCGGTAGCTGTTTAGTCCCCAGGAAGATTCCTGGTACTCATTTTTGTCAGAGACTGAGTCGACTTCAGGGCCATAGTGCGGCTAGAAGTATTAGGTCAATTGAAATGTCGGGAATCGAACCCGCGACCTTCCAGCTTATGTTATATCATACAAGTTGTAGTGGTTTACAAACTGCGGTCTGAGAACCGCTGACAGATGGAAAAGCATCTGATTTCTAGTAAAGCTATCCCTGTAACAGATCGTGGCGGCACATAGATTTGTGAGATGTCGAGGCTCACTTATTTTCTAGACAGCCGGTTCACAGATGGCAGTGAGGTTGTCAGCTTTAAGAACCGACCGCCCTTTACCCTACAGGAAGATTCCTGGTAGTAATTTCTATTGACCCTAGGGCTATAGTGTGGCTGGAAGTGCATAAAGAAATAAGCGCCGGCTGTCTGTGGTAAGAAATTTTCTCGATAATAAACAAGACGGACATGAATACAGTGATAACCCAATAACGAAAACGCGCATGCTCACCCCACTGCTGCTGCCGAGTACACTGGTCAGGACCTCCACGGCCCTCTTGTCGCGCCGTACCATTTCCCTTAACTCCCGCATGTCCTCTGCTTGCTTCGCCTTGTCCCCGCGGTGAGCCGACAGCTTCTTCACTGCTGTCACGAGGATCTCGTCCTCCAGCTTCTGTTCCATTCGAACTGCCTCTGCCGCCACGCCCGCCTCAGCGGCGCGCACCATGTCGGCCTCCAGTTGCTGCAACATAAACCATTCTGTATTGGTTTGCATGGGTATGAAGCTCAGTAAGATCTGAAAGTTCGTGACAATGGTGTATTAATACAGCAATTGCGTCTTTGGACATCCATCGTCCTATTTCTTACTTAAATCACAAAGTTTCACAGATTAGATTCTGTCTCCGTCTTCAGGTGGAATCCACTCAGTTGGATCTGCTCTGCCGATTGGGGCCAACTCAGTAGGTTCCGCCTGAAGACGGAGACTATATTCTGTCTCCGTCTTCAGGTGGAGTACACTCAGTTGGATCTGCTCTAACGATTGGGCCCAACTCAGTTGGTTCTATCTGAAGACGGAGACAGAATTTAGTCTCCGAGACGTTATGTCTTAAGCAAAAATAGGAAGATGGATGTCCAAAAACACAAAAATTATGTGAAAATTAATATCAAAGAAAGTCCTATATCTATTCATCGTCTCGACTATCTTTGCTACATTCCCAGCCCATTGTAGTCTCCCGTATTTCACTAACGTAAAATAAGGACTGAATCTGTCTCAAGGGCAGTGATATGGCTGAGGCGGTCACTCGCCGGCTTCCCACTGGGGCTACCCGGTTTCCTTCCCACGATGGGTTATGCGCGATCTGCGGCGGACAGAGTGGTACTGGGACACTTTTTCTCCGAGTACTTCGGTTTCCCCTGCCA